CCTCACCAATACGTATTATTGGCACGTATGTACACTTCGCTTTGCTCGTCAGATCTGTTATTGTTTTTTATTTGTTTTATTCCTATAAGCCTTTTCTAATGTAGGGACGTAGATGACACAACTGACGTTACCGACGCGATCACAGACTTGAGATAGGCGCGAGAGACTTCGAGTAGTTTTAAGAATGACGAGACGAGAGACCGAGACGTGAGCTTGCAAGTGTGAAAACTCTTCTGTGATATATATTATATCTTCCCACGCTTTGTAATAATAAACGGTTCTTTATATACTTCAACCAATTCCTACACTAATTTATTTGATTTTTTATTTTAATTTTGTAAATATGATTTTTTATAACGAATTACTTTCGATTGTATCCCAATGTTTGCTGAAATATAAATTTCATTGAAAGGGTCCACAAGGAAAGCCAGGCATTCCCGGTCTTCCGGGCGCTGACGGATCTCCTGGACATCCGGGCAATCCTGGAATCCCAGGTATAAAGGGAGAACAAGGTCCTCCGGGCTCACATGGACCAGTAGGGTTTCCAGGCGTTCGAGGTGTAAAGGGTGATGAAGGGCAACGTGGCGTACCGGGTGAACGCGGCGAACAAGGCGAGAGAGGTTTGGAGGGTGAGAAGGGCGACACTGGAGCGAAAGGAGAACCCGGAGCGACAGGTCCGCAAGGTATTCCTGGCCTCGAAGGTTTGGAAGGGCCGAAAGGTTTCGAGGGGCCTCGTGGTGAAACTGGGCCTGCTGGTTTGTCCGGAGAGAAGGGAAAGATAGGCGTACCGGGATACGCTGGCTATCCCGGAAATCCTGGAGAAAAAGGAGATAAAGGGCAACCGGGAAATCAAGGACCAAGCGGCGATAAAGGAGAAAGAGTAATACTAATAAATATATGTTAAATTCTTAATATTAATTTTAATAATTAAGATCATAAACACCAACACGGTATAAAGCGGATTTTGGTGCTTCCATATAATATTGTACCGTGAATCTTACAATTTTCGATTCATGTAACACAACGTGGCCGCAAATCGCGTGCATCTCTGCAGCTCCGAACTAAGTAGTATGTAATATCACAATTAAATTGCCAAAGGCAATCTAATAAATCGATGCTTAAAGCATCTATTTAAAATCCTGTGAAATCCTCCCACTCTCGCGACATGAAATAAATGCTAACTTGCATTTATACGAACCTGTAAAGAATTTATTGCGAAAAATATCACCTCATGTTCTCAGCTAGAAATCAAATCCGGATCTCCACGTTTGCCGGATGGCTGTCCTGCCTTTAGACCACCGAGGCATGTGATAATATTCACCGCAACAAACAATCTAGCGCGTTTTCAAGCCGCGAAAATTCAATATATATATTGAATTTTATTTATTGAAACAAAAACTCATATACGAAAATGTCGAGGTTATAATACTTTTCAAATTATAAACGATTAAAGTTATCTTATTACGGCGTCTGAAGTTCGCGCGCTCAGGCATGGTACATACATATTGCGCGCGCGATTGCGGGGTGCCCTTGTCCATTGACTCACATTTAAATATTGACATAATTGATGCGCTTATCGCATATAAATATCTAATTATCAAAATTGAGTTTCTTATTTGAAAACATTAATGATTTTATAAGTTAATAACTGTCTCTTATACACATCTCTGAGCGGGCT